TGTGCCAGCTTTTTAAGGCAAAGAATCTTGAAAGTGTTTGTGGTTAAATGCATTTTATAAGTACATAAAATGTCATATAAATTCAAAACGTGTTTCGGATTTGGACTTTTTGACTTTCCTCCTCATTTGGATCTCCAAACTCTTATCAGAAAATGTATTAATTCAGTCCTTTCCTGTAATACCCAGGGAAAAGTACGCTGCCAACAGAATTGGTTAAAATTTGCTTTGTGCAGAAGCTTTTCTAGGTGGACTATGTACCTTTGTGCTGTTCAGGTGCCTGTGGATGATGCTGGTTTACAATACTGACAACAGAAGGCAAGCACTGGTAAAAGCATTCAGCATTTAGAATTAATTAAGGGGTTTTAACATAAAGCAAATAACAGGATTTTTTGACCCTAAGTATTCTTGTAGAGTGCAAATTTTGGACATGGGTGTGTTAAGTATTTGTGAAAAATGGTGGATTTTTAAGATGTAAGCAAGGGTTTGTAAGGATGTGTAACAGGTTTGGGCTTTTGTTGGGTTTTTTTGAGTTCAATGGATAGGAAGAGCTTCTGAGAAGCTTGTTTGGACAGAATGCACATTCAGAACTGCAGGTTGAATTTATTCCCCGTTGCACCAATGCAGTTGTCATTCTGAGCACAATGACTGAGCTTTGTCTACTTAATTGCTGTTAAAAATAATTGACTGCATTTTCCACTGAGTGAATGTTTCAATAATGGAAGGATTAGGATGATGCATTGAAGAGATTAAGATATTTTTTTTTTTTATTAATAGAACAAACTCTGCAAAGGTCTCTTTCTCTGATAGTGTTTTTTCTTTTGCACCTTCCTACGGGAAGGCTGCTCTGGTGAATGTGTTCCAGCTGATGCATCTGCTATCCTACAATATGCAGGTTATTTTATTTTATTTATTTTTTATTTTATTTTTGTTTGTTCTATTTTTCAACCCATGGCATAGTTATACATTTCAGGAAAAAATGCCTTTATGCAGCCTGTCCCAATATTCGTAAAATCTACCCCAGCATCTCTGGACACTCATTAACGTGGTCTTTCAAAAAAAAAAAAATCCGCATTTTTAAATAATAGCATTTGTTCTTTCCTGGCCTAAATCTGGACATGTAAATAAACTAAATGCACATATTTACACAGTGAAAAGTATTTGCAATTAAATACTGCGTGGTGGTGGGGTGTGGGAAAAGAATGGGGACCCACCCAGCTAGCTCCTGTGGGGAATTAGTACTATGGAGATTAATACACTCGTTCATTTTCTTTAAGATATGGAATTATACATTTATTGGGGGGGCAGGGGGGTAAATTTAATCTTCAGGAAACAATTTTCCGGGTAATTCTATCTCTAACCTTGCTTCTAAAGTAAATACCAGCTGCCCCGGAGGCAGTATAGTGATCATTTAGCAGTGTGTGGATGCAATTATACATGAAACAATCAATTTACAATTTTCTATAGCTCCCAGCAGCATCTGTGTGGCTACACTGCCTTGCATCTTGCTGTAGTCCTCTCTCTTACTGCATCATATTTCAACCATTTGCTGCCTTGGAGATTTCCTAGAGTGCCTTTGGAAAAACAGACCAGGAGAGAAGATACCTCCTTCCTCTCCTTTGTGCTGTTAGCAGTCATCTCACGTTAAGTACTGCTTCTGCCTTCCTCCTTTGCTCCTGGCTCATGCCTTCTGTTCTAGTATTCTTTCCAGCTAGAGTACATTTCTCGAAATCACCCATCAAGTGATTTTACCGCCTTTCATTCATATGCGCTGTAAACCACTGTCTACCCTATCCCATCCTTTCCTAAACTTCTTCCATTTCATAAGCTGTTGTTACTCTCAGTCCTGTGTGCTCGTCTCTGGTGTAATCAGGATTACATGGTTGCCTGAACAGGAGCATCTTTTTCTTTGTAAAGTTCAAGAGAAATGTATTGATGTCATGGGAGTTTTCATATATCATCTGTATGGAGGGCTCTTTCATGTAGGGAATATTTCATACAGAAAAAAAATTATTATCTGGTTAATAATTTGCTCTTGGAGAGACTGCATCATTATTCATTCTTGGATGAAGTTTCATTATTTTTATTGGGTTTTGTGGGGTTTAGATGTTGTTCTGTATAAATGCTCAGTAAGATAGGCAGAGTGGTGGGCTTGGATATTCCGGACAGTGAGGTTTATGACTGTCAGTTGGCTTTGCCACAAGTTTACTCCATATTTTTGAATCATCTCGTGAGAGAATGGCTGTGTTGGAGAGACAACTCTTCATCGCTGGCGTTCAAAGCTCTTTGTGCAAGAGGAACGTCGTTGTTGATCACAGCCTCTAGTTTGGAGCTTTAAGCAGGTGTGAATCCCGACTGTGAAGCACGTTGAATGCAAGCCCCAAAGCACTGTGAGGTGTCCAAGAGGGTGTTGGAGGGAACGGCGACCTGTCTGCTGTGGTCACAGTGGTGGGAGGTGGAGAGCAGACACAGCACGCCGCGTTTTGTCTTGGAGAACTGAATGGTTTGTACTCAAGTGCATTGCATTGCTCTGGGAAGCTGAAGCTTGAAGTGGAAGCAGAGGAACAGTCTCATCAAATTATTCACACCTGAAAAAGTTTTGCTGAACAATATCAGCCTAAAACTCTCAAACAAACCTGGCAGAACTGTGGTGTCGTGCTGGTTGATGACCATTTCTGCAGTCATTGGGCTTACATATAAATATTGAAGAAGGTTAAAACAAATAGAGAATCTGGCACTGAAATCCTAATTCCTTCTAAGCTATTGCCATTTCCCATGTTATTGCTTTGTAATCATGCCACAGTTTTACCCACTGAGGTGCTAAAGAGAGCGAAGACGAGGTACTGCTCTGCTGATTTCATTGTTCTTTTGTTATCAGGTGTTTCTGTAAACTCTTTGAGGTAAATAATCTTCAGATCTCCTATCAACATTTTTATTTTTTTGCAACATAAATCATTTTGGTACCAGCTTTTGTAACTGTGCCTTTTAAACAAAGCTGCTGTAAACAGTCATTTACAGGTTCTGTTTCTGAGACAGCTTTAAAAAACATGTCGTATATATTTGCTCTTGCTCTAAATGTTAAATATCATTGCACATAACGATGCAAACAGATGGTATGGCTGCATAAGCTGTTTGTCATTTTACACATTTATCTCTTTACACTAGCAAAGTGTACGTGTGTTTGATTAATATTAACATTTTATTTATTTGGAGGTCTCTCTTTTTTGAGAGCATTAAGGGATATATTCTAATCTTTACAGGCTTCCAACCTTAAAATTTAATTCCAGTGAAGACAGAGTAGATGTATTCTGTGGTTCTTAATTGCATGAACCTTTTCGCTATGGAAAAGAATTACCTGTTTGAGGTTTTAATACTGGAAGGAATTCAGAAGTAAATGGATAACTCTGCTAAAATGTTTCAGACAGATTAAATTTAGATGCTATTGGTCCAGCTAAATAATTATCTTGGAATTAAATACCAGATGCTAAGAAAGTGTAAAATAAAACAAAACAGCAACAGTGCTATTCAAATTGATATTCTTTTATATCCTCCACCTACAGAATGAGAGAACTTTGTATTTGCCTGCTCAACAGGTCTGGATGTTCAGCATGTGTTACACCCTGTATACAAAACTAAACAAGGGTCTCAAAAAAGCACCTCAAGCTTATAGACATAGTACACAGACCATACTTCCAGACTCCTGACTGCAGTGTTGGATTAAAAATATGGTTTACCAAGATGTTACTTCATCTTAATGCATTTTGTCTCAGTTAAATCCTGAAAAAAGGCAAGATTTTCCTTTGATACAGTGGATGGAAAAACGATTGCAAGTTGGAATGGGTCTGCTTGTGCTTGTTGTTCTGCTAAATGGCAATAATATTTAATGAGAGGTTGAGCTCTAAACTGTAAATTCTTTAGAGTGTGAGATGCCCAGCCTGTCAGAATAAATAGAGGAGGCTAAAAACACTTACTTTGAAAATGACTGTTCATTTTGGAAGGCACCAAGTGATCTCGATGAAATATAACCGAGTCAGTTGAATTTTGGATAGAGATCAAATTCCCAGCATGTATTCTGGCAGCATCTCTTCTTCACTGATTCCGTTCTTCAATATCTTTTATGTTCAAATAGCACAAGCAGCACTTCAGTCTGATATGCTGCTACCATTCTAATTTCACATAACTTTCAGTGACTTCTTATAGACTGAATTAATAAATAAATTACTATTATCCATGCTTATTTGCAGTTTTTACGCCTATGCTTTCTTCTGTATCTATTAATTAACATTATGGAAAGACGTATGGAAAGACAGCAAAAATGATGACGTAGCACTAGGAATTACCCAGAGAGTATACATGTTAAAGTTTCACGTTGCAGTGCAGTTCAAACTGGAATTGGCAGGACCGTAATAGCTGGTCAGGGCTTCATGTCATTAACTCCTCTTTTTCCATGAAGACTCCTTTGGACTGCTATGGCCCTGTTGCCTTTGCGTCCAGGACGTCAGATCAGATGCTGGGAAATGAGGAGAGTGCATAAAGTAAAAGAACGTCACTTGAACATGAGAACTTGCTTCAGGAGTGAAAAGCTCTCTTCCTGAATGATCTGAAAAGAAAAGCTTCTTAGTATCTCATTGGTTACGTTAGAGGGCATAAAATCCGTATAAACATTTGTGGACAATGCATTCATGAAAAGGACTATCATTTAAGAAAATATTTTTAGTGTATGAAATGCAGAGATGTAGCACACCAATTGCTGGAAATATGCAAAAACAATTTGGTTGAACTCATTAACTTTTTTGGTTTTTAAACTGGTCATTATCAGGAAATGAGTTGTATATTTCATGAAAAGCTAGCTTCATTTTCCTGTTAGTGTCATCGATACACTTTTTCTTAAATATGTATTTTTATTAGAAGACAGTAATTCGAAATTCTGTGTTTTCCTTTTCTTTCCTTCTTCTGTTTGTAAAACTGAAAGAACAGGTTTTTTCTGCATTTTGATCTAAAAGACTGTTTTCTTTCTTTGCAGGTTAATAACGAGAATGTAGTGAAAGTTGGCCACAGGCAGGTGGTGAACATGATTCGGCAAGGGGGCAATCACCTAGTTCTTAAGGTTGTCACAGTAACCAGGAATCTTGATCCAGATGACACAGCTAGAAAGAAAGGTACATTTTTCACTTTTCCTAATGGATTCCGTTTGCTCTCACTCCCTAGAAGACAGAATATGGACCTGAAATTACTGTTTTAAAAATTCTGTTTCATAGATTTCACTTTTAAAATTTGACATACTGTTATTCAATTTAGAGTGATTTAATTTTGTTGACATTAATATGTGACAAAAAAGATAATATTATTTTGTCATGCTTGCTGTGAAATTTCATCTTTATGGATCTTTATACATTTATGTGATTGAAGATCTTGTAGTAAAGTTTCTTGCAGCAGTGAGAGAGAAGAAGCACCGAGAACAGATTATCTTTTGATTAATTCCAAACGTATTTGAAATGAGGTTATTTCAAGTCTTCTTGAAACCATTGAGAACTTAACAATTTTGCGAAATATGTTGTAGAAAGGACCTCTGTAAGAATAAGAAAAGTAAGCAATATGTTTAGATTGAATTTCTGGTAGAAAAGTGCATTGTAATGGGAAAATTACTTAGATTAATTCAAACTAGAGAGGTTGTTCCAGCCAGGGAAAATCCCTCCTCCTGCCATAAGTAGAAAACATGCACAGCTTCTTTTTCTGCCACTTGGCTGCAGGCAAGAAAGCAGTTACGTCAGGAGAGGTTGGTAAAGCATCATGTGCCGCAAACACTTTGGGAAAGAATTGTCTGCATGCGAAGAGGACAAGGTTTTTTTCCAGCCTAGGTTTTTTTTAATATATTAATTTTAATAGATGTTATGGGTTAACCTATATAATAAGTCTGGGCTACTCCCTTGAGAAGTTCATTGTGTTTCCCACCCACTCACCCAACCACACAAAATACCACCAAAACATCACAAAAAAACCCAAAAAGACCAAAAAAAAAAAAAGTGCATTCTGCACTATTTCCTTCACCTTAGATACCCCTGAGTTTGCTCAGGTAAAAGCAACTCTGGGAAGTCATTGAGCTCTCATAATTACCATTAAGCAGAAAAGATTGCTGCTGCTAACTAGTCTTCAATACAGCAGCATCACATTTTTGAAAATTCCTGTTCCTCCCACTGGTTTCTGGATTGTCACTCACAGCTGCCTGGCTCTTCACACAAGAGCGGGCTCGAAGCTGGCACCCGAGGGCCCCCTCTGTGTCCATGAGTAAAACTGACTGTCTGTGCTCTAAGTGCTCTTGACATCTATTGCTTTTTTTTTTTTCTTAAAAAAAAAAGTACCTCAGGGGGAAAAAAAAGCTATATTAAAGTAAATAATGTCCAAACATGGTCCTGCATTATTATTTTCAGCTCGATAGAATGACTGTTCACACTTTGTGAACAAACCTTTCACCTCTGCCTTTCGGGATGTGTCATACTGGCCTTCGGTGGAAGTGCTGTTGTATACAACCCAAAGGGAACCTGCTTCTGTAAAAACAAACCCAGCTCTTTCTCATCTTTCCAGAGCCTTCTATTGATACTGTGTCATTTTCATTCACTTTTGAATCTTGTCCCTTTTTGACGCAAGTTGGTAGCCTTTCATGTCACCTGGCAATTGCCATCGTACCCTGGGAATTGTGTGGAAGGATTTTCTCGCCATCAGTATCAGACACCAACCTCATCAAACAATCCAGTATCTTGGGCAGTTTCCCTCAGATTTGTTGTTGCTTTTCTTGTTGGGCAAGGGCAGACCTGAGCTATATCTTTGCTTTCTTGTGCCACACTGGCGTTCAAGCCTTTCTGAGAAGATGATGGAGCTTAACAGGGAAAGGATGACGCTGACATAGTGGATATAGACGATACAGGATGAACACTGTCTTCTTTCCTCCATCACTCTCGCCCGCAAACTGCTTTGCCACCTTTTGTCAAAATGGTGTAGCCTGATGTATAGTATTGACCAAAACACTTAAAAAACCTTATTTTTTCCTGGTATCCCAGAGCCATTCCTGTTTACTGGAAGTCTCCAACTTTCCTATCAACATTGACAAAATCTTTTCTGATGTTACGCCCCTTTCTGACCGCCAGAAATATTTATCATGAGGCGTTTCTGTGCTAGATGATTGCCTTGATGTTTTAAGATATTATTTATTTTGAGGATCATCTGTTTTCCCATGTCTCACCATAACTACTGAGAGAAATTTGAATCTTCTTTCTTGTATTTCTCAGATTTAGCAGTTTTTTCAAAGCTGAAATTAATCTGGCAGAGATTGGCTGGTCCCCAGGAGATTTTTAGCTCTGTGTATTTCTTAGAAGGAGGGGCATAACTGCTGTGAGGCACTTTCTCTAGAAAGTCTTTTCTCCTACTGAAAAATAGAAGTGCACAGTTATTTAGCTTTAAATGTCTCTATGTATCCTGTTACATAAAAGCTTGCTGATGTGTCAAACCACCTACGCTAAAAGTAGAAACGGTATAGAAATTCAGTACATGAAAAGCATCTCAGGGTTTTTTCCTCCGCATGTAGGTATTTAATATTACCTTATTTAATGTAGCATATTCTTTTAAATAAATGTGTATGTGAATATAGTGTTTGAGAGGTATGTATTTGCTTACACTGTGTATCCTTCTGTTTAATGCAAAGCCCCACCACCTCCTAAGCGAGCTCCAACCACTGCACTGACCTTGCGGTCTAAGTCAATGACCTCAGAGCTTGAAGAGCTTGGTAAGAAAGTGTTTTTTGACAAGCATGCTGGCATAATAGAAATGTAAAAAAAAATATGTATATATGTGTTAAGTAGGCTAAAAGGAACTGCACTGTGTACAGTACATAGAACAGAAAAGGTTTTAAGAATGCTGCATCTTTGGAGAGTTCAAATCTGCATGACTCGCATGAATAATTTTTGTTTAAACTTGTGCCTTTACTGCTACGCAAGAGAATGTTGATACATTTTATGCATCATCAAAGTTTGGCACATCTACTCAAAAGTAATGCTGTATTATATTTTGTTAGCTTTGCTTTCTAAATTTTCACTTCATCTAATATTGTTTTATTTTAAATTTCTGTGGCCTCTCATTAGTGGATAAAGGTAAGCTGCCAGAAGCTGTTGTTAAAAAGCTGACAGTGTTAAAGCAGCTTCAACTTCAACTTGTTTTCGTTAGACCCTGATCTGAGAAAGCACATATGTGCACTTTGACCACTGTGCATGATATAAACTTAATTCTTCTCATTATTGGTAATAAAAAAAATATTGAGCATTCAGTCTTTTATTTGCTAATTTTAAGAACTGTGATTGTAGATTCCTTTGCTTGATCATCCACATTATAGATATGCATAATTCTTTGGGAATTTTGATTTATTTTATAGAAGTGAGGAAGGTAATAGTTCTTTTCTTCTCGGCTTTAATGTGTTAGGTCATTTAAAAATAGAATTTCTGCTGCTAGACTAATAAATATGTTATGAATGAACCATACATTCAAAGAGAAAAGTCCAGTGCCTATTCATATATGGCTGTTACACTGGAACAGTGTGTTTAGCAAGTGATAATTGGGTATAAAAACAAACCATGTCCCTCACTGCAGAGTAAGAGTCTATCGTACAATAAACCCATTTTTCCGTGTAACCCTACATTGATTTAAATACTTACATTTTGTGATCATTTTTATTTCTGGCATGGACTCATATGAAAGCCAACTGGAACGAATCAAAGCCTTGTGGCCACTTTATTTTTCCCAGGAAGTCAGTGTTTCCTGGGGCAGATGGACCCCATCCATCCTTTAGTGAGTCAAGTGACACAGCTTCAGTGGGAGTTCTGACCTGACAAAGGGTGCTGAGGTGGTTACTGTCTTCTCTATGGTGTAACGACCAAATGAAGACCAAAATGAAACAGTCTTGACTATTTAGCTCTGACAGATGTCTGAAAAAATGATATTTCTGTGCCGGGAAGTTTAGGAGCCTGACTAAAGGTTTCAGCAGTTTGTGAATGCTCCGTAATTTTTCTTCCAGGATTAAAATGTAAAATAGTGTTTCTGGAGCCACTCTGGGGGTTTGGGTGTTTTGACTTGTGTTCCTTTCATGGAGTGCCGAGAGGTTGTAAGACTTTACTGGCTTATCAACAAACTTCCAAAGGGGACAGAAATACCTAGGCACCATTTTTCCCCCTTCATTATCCCCTTCTGCAAATCACTTTCAAACCGAGGGTATTCTATTTCTCTTACTTTTCAATATCACACAGTAGATACTGTTCTTAAAGCAGAAAGAAGCAGCACTCTATTCTAGGGGAAAATAGCTTACTAATAGTAAAGTCCCCTCTGCAATGAAGACCATCAGATTTGAGCTCTCTCACCCCCCTCTTCAGGTTATAGTACTTGATCTGTTATTTTTTCTCGTCAGCTGGCAGAAGCCACTGCAACTCTTGACTAGCAGCCACGGGACATATTTGAATCTTTAAGCACATTTGCCATCCGTATCTTTATCCAGATGTGGCAAATATTACAGTGGCAAGACACTACTATATTCTAAAGAATAGTCCTAAAGCATGTTCCTGAAGTGTATGTCCCCTGCTAGAGCATGGCAGAAATTTGTCTTCTTCCCAAACAAGACTGTAAATACCAGTTCCCAGATACTCTGAACATTTGCCACCCTAGCAACCAATATAACTGCTGTTATCAATAACGTCTGTGGTCTACCTGTTTTCGTATTTGCCCTGTAAAAGGGCTATTATCAGAAGGAGCAAGAATTTTTAAATTGCACAACAACGGAACAAGCTTCCAAAGAGAAAATGTTCTCACTATCATCAGTTAAAAGTTGTCTTCTGACATAAACCACAGATTGTCTGTGTGTATTTATATATAATTTATATATCTCTATATGTATATGTGTACATAGTGGACATCTGTACAAACTATGAGAACACCCACATTTTTATACCCATTAAACTACCTAATGAATAAGAACTTGTTTCATAACATATATGTGCAAACTAAACAGGAAGTATGCCTCGATGAACGCTGTGGATGTTCTCATCAATCTATATGTGTAATCTTTTTTTCTGAACTGAAGAAGCTCGTGGTCTTAATAATGTCTCGTGGCAAAGAATTCCACAGGCTAATTCTGTGCTGTGTACAAATGTATTTCCTTTTTATTGGCTTTAAATGTGATGCCTTTAATTTTATTGAATGTCCCTTGTTATGTAATAGAAGAAAAAAAGATACGTAGACATTCCCCCTTCGTTTTCACTTAGAGTGTATGTTTTTGTAATTTCTCCTAGCTAAACTAAACAACATAATTTTAAAAAAAATATTGTACATCTTGCAGTCTTGACAGTCACTTCTGTTGCCTGGCTCTGAACAATACTTATGGTTTTATTGGCATGTTTTTAGCTACTCTGTTCCCCATGATACTGAGCAGACCATCTCAGTTGTTCACTTTCAAATGAGTTAATCCAAAATACGGCAGATAACGTGTGTTAATGATTCCTTTCCACTTCAATCTGTAAAGATCTCAAAATGCCCTGTTATTGTAGTTTGAAAGCCCTGGTATCAGTAAGTTGCCCCAACTACTGTTTTTAGAAAATAATTTAGAAAAAAAAAATTGGACATGTATCTCTAATATCTACAGGGGAACATCTTCTTATAGTTAAGGTCTAAACCCTGATAAGCTGTGCTTTTGCGAGCTGTTTATCTCCTGTGGTTTGATAGATTCATGCATAGCAGAGGCTAGCGAGGAGACACTAACGTCTTAGATGGAAAAAAAATGTTTATGCTCAAAATAACAGACAAGGATTTAGCATATAAAAATTACCTACAGAATTGATTCACAGTTCATTCCCTTTCTATTTCCAAGCTTCAGTACGGAAGAAGAAGGGTAAGGGGAAGCATTTTGTCTCTTGTTTAACCTGTTTCTCACCTTTCCATAGTGAAGGATATTAACATAATGTAAATGTTGGCATATGGTCCAGTTTATTTTATGGTGTCAAATGTACATTAATTATTGTATATGTTTTTTAGTTACTTAGTTAATAAATTGCAAACACACTAAGAACTCAAACAGAAGACTACATTTGAAAATATTCCCCCCATTTCTTCCTTTTGTCTCCTTTCCTTCATCTTGCCTTTTTTTTTTTTTCCTTCTTTGTATCCGACTCTTTTCCAAACCTTTCCATACCATCTCCTCACAGTTACTGTGCTAACTGGCAGCCACCGAGAATACGTGGCCGGTGACATATCCTCAGTGTAGTCCTACGTTAGTGCTTTCACTTGTCTTTTTAATGGCCAGACGTTAGTCCCATGACCACACTGTCTCTGTCTCAGGAAATAGGGATCTTGCACACAACACTTGAACTTTTGTCCTGGAGAAATGCTGCTCTGCACAATTAAGTTTTCAATAGAACATCTTCCACGCTGTCCCGTATGCATGGAGTGCCCTCCCTGAGCTGATTCATGAGGCCACCACCTTCTCCTTGAAATCTCTCCTAAAGACCCACTTCCCCTACGATCCCTATTTAGCAATCATCTCAGTAATGCTGGCTAGGCAGAGGGGTAGGTAGAAATAGTGGTGCTATTTTAATAGTTTTTATAAATGTAACTGTATCTCTATGTATACAAAGTATGTTCCTGTTCAGCTGTATTTTTCCATACTCCTGTACGTCATTTTGCTTTCTTAGATTGTAAGCTCTCCTGAGCAGGGACTGTGTCATTTGCACGTTTTCATAGCATCTAGCCCAAGGAAGAGTCTCGAACCCCCCCTGAGCCCCCAGGTGATAGCTGGTAGAACAGTCTATGTCCTCTCTGACAAAGTTCAGTGTCACAGACAGGAAAGCTAGCCTGTAGGCAGCATCTTCTCTCAACAGGGGAGCTTTTTCTTTTTAACGTTAAACAGGATAAAATCAGGCTATTTTTGACTCTTTATTTTTCTGCTCTTTCCTGACCGCCTTTCAGGTCACTAACAGAGGTTCCAGCTAGTAATGTTTTCTATTCTCCATTCAGAGAATATGACAGAATAAACCCCATTGCTACTGGTATTTTTTCTGAAAAAATAAGTTTTGGCAGCATATAAAAATAATCTTCACCTTGTTCTTGTAGAATCTTCCGTCAACCAAAAATTCAGTTTTCTGGGTCGTAGATGAGGGAGGCATTAAGATGGAAATGATGGCTTGTGTGGGTCTGTTTGGCTTTGTTGGTTGTCTGTTGAGAGGGCTCCTGGTTCATCGGGAGGTGAAAGAGAGAGAGGCAGTAAAATCTTGAGGTTCACAGCAGTACAGCATGCGCAGTATTATCATTTCACTGCAGTTACATAGCACGAATTACTAAAGTATAAACCATACCTCATCCGTGCCACTGACTTTCTGCTGACAGTAGCTGCCTGAATCAGAAAGACAGCATCCAACTTCAAATTGTGTGTTTGGAGGGGACGTGTCTTCAATAGTGAAACCACTTGCTGGATTTTACGGGATAGCGGGGAGGTGGAAAAGGTGGGGTTTTTTTCTTTTGTGCCTTGTAGGTTTTCAAGAGTTGTAGAATGAGTAAGTTATGGCAACATGTAAACTAATAGTTGTAGCAGCAATTTTTTTGAGGCAGTACTTAAAATATAATTCTAGGTTAAGTGTAGTTAGCCCATTAATACTGAAGAATAACCAAAGTATTCATGCGGTAAATTAAAATGAAGATTTGAAAATACTCTAAAGGGAAAACATGAAAAGAAAATTTATGAAACTCCCAATGCATTTTTCTTGGTCATATTTTCATCATCACCACAAAAAATAGGTATCATAAGAGTTTCAAAATTAATATTTTAAAATAATAAATTTATCTCTATTCATAAAAAAGTTTATGTGGCTTATGAAAAGCTTGTTTTTAAAGGATTTTTCCTTCAGTTTTATTTATTGTTAACTTCTTGTGGATGGAGAATTTTAAAATTACATGATAGTTAAGGAACACATCCACAAACTAGGATCTGTAAATGTCTAGATACATGATTGAGAAGTTTCATCTTCCTAAGCTTTTCTTACTGCCAGGAAATGGGTTTGATTTAGTAATTTGGGCTTTTCAGTGAAAGCAAAGTGGACAGTGTTCACTTTTTAAAACCTAACATAAAAACGCTCTAAGAGAAAGTACAAAATTAAGAATAGAGCAGACTAAATTTTCCTAGTGAAATGGGAATGGCAAGGTGAATAATTGTTCTGCATTAATAAATATTACTTTGAGAGTGTCACACGAGTGGCAGTTGTGAGCTAGGGGGCTGGTTTGTTTTTCCTTCGATTGGATATGGTAATCAATATAAAATAATCCGTCTCTGTGTGTTGACACTGATCTTTGGGTTTTCATGTGGGCTACAGTACAAGCTACAAATGTAAGATTTTTCCTCCTCTGAAGAGTTAGAATGCTAGTACCACCTCTCAGATACAGAATCACTGTGATATCATCCACACAGACTATGGCTATAGCAACCTTTGCACAGAAAAAATATCAGTTGATGGCATTCAAAAGAAATATTATTAGCTCTGTCTGCAATAAGCATTCACACTTCATCCCATTCCTGTTGTCCATTGTTTCAAAGGTGGCACATTCTAATGGCATCTGAAACAATGAAATTGCAGAGCAAATATATATAACTGAATGCCAAGCAGCGGATTAGCTCCCAGTGTTATGTTATGTTTGAAGAAACCACTCACAAAGACGTCTGGGTTCCAAAAAATCATTTTTTTATTTCACTGTGGTGGAGTTGATGATGGAGATTTGTCTGCAGGAAACAATGGAAATACCGTCAAAGCGACTTTTACAGCACTCACAGCAGCAACTCCTTTGATAGTTTCCAGCATCTGCAGTGCTTCTATGTAGGAAGAAGGTTTTCTGATCTTCACCAGACACTGTGTGTGAGAAGATGAGAGCGAAAGGCATCAGGCTTAATGAAGAATTCTTGAAGGGTATCCTCGTAAGTAACTGATTTGCATTACATATTTGTAACTCGAATGAGATAGCAATATAGGAATAAGATAAAGGGTGTCATCAGGTTGTCATTTTTTATGAGCATAAAGCAGTGACTCTGCGTGGAATTTGTGAAGTATACGCGTGAAAAAATACTGGCCCTGTCTTTTTGTTGGTGTAGCAAGGTTACAGGCTCTGTGACTTGCAGCCTAGCTTGTGGGGAGTCCACAGCAGTAGAAGTTGTTTTAGGATTAGGACCATGCCTATGACATATATGCTTCTAAAACACTTTGTAAGAGAAAAGTGTTGAAAATCGGCGTGTTTCAAGGAGAACAATGTTAACCCTATGTTTTCCATTGAAAAAAAAAATTGACACCTGTCTGGCAATGTGGTGATTAACAATTTTTGGCACAGAATATTAAAACACCAGGTAACTCTCTACTACTGAGCACTTCTTCAAACCAGGGTTTATGTTGCTCAAGGTGGGCAGCTTTAACTAACATTTTGAAAAGGCTGGGAATCCTGAGCAGAGGTTAGTTGAGTCTCTATGTGGGTGTTCTCTTCATTTATGCTACTGTTATTTTGAATTTATCAGCTTATTCTGGAGTACATAGCAGCCTTTGGTGACACTTGTTTTTCTTTACTCTAGGACAGTAAACAAAAAGGTTTTCAAAACCTTTCTGCATCAGCCAAACAAGACAATGGTATAAAAGAAGTTGGAAAAGGAATTGTAAGTGTTAAAGAAAATATGGGTTTTGTAGTGTTTGGAAACAGGCGAATTAAATACATTGGCATATGTGAGTGTCACTTGCTATACTCAGACATCATTAATTGAATATCTAACCAAATGTTCCAAATCATGAGTGCCTGAGGAACAGTAAAAATTGCATGTGTTTCCCCACATGGTACAGTTAGGGCAGTGGGAAATTTTTTCAACATTTGTAATGTGTTCTCTCTCTTTTTCAGGAGCCAGGGAGATGAAGGACTTATCTCCCTCATCTCAAAACTCCCTTTGCTGCTATTTCTTTTTTTTTTCTTCAAATGTTCAATACCCATGTTAATTAAGTTCTAATTAAAAATAAATGGTTTTAGATCATCCATCATAGTTTGTTTGGTTTTTCCCCTCGGTGTGGAAGCGTGAGAGTAAGTGCAAGAACAGAGAAGGCTGCAAGTGTCCTAGGTCCTCCACCTTTCTTTTTTTGGTTTCTTTCAGTTGATTGTCTTTCTTTTGTGGCTAGGCCAAATTTTCAAATGCTGTCTCTTAAACAGAACATCAAATTGCCGCTTAAATTCCACCTGGCTTGCAGGGTAGGAGTGGGTATTGACTATATTCTCTGCTTTGTTTTTGTTCTTGAACAGAAACCACTGTTAGACAATGACCATTCCTCTTTCAAGGTAGGCTGAATTGTAAGGCTTCAGCATTGCAGGTGCATTTGGAATGCCTGTATAATTATTTCATTAATTGAACATACTGTTAAAGAGCTGGTACTTGAAAATTGTATCTACAGAAAAAATTTGAACATAGTTTTCTGCCTTCCTTAAAATTATTTTTGATGGTGTGATGATAATATGTAAATGTGACTTATATGTACTAATGTGAAGATATGTTCAGCCCTAGAAACACACAGACGACTTTCTTTCAAGAAAGTTTTGATAGTTTTTTATTGTGAATACATACAAATCATTTTCATAAATCATGTAATGGTATTTATAGATACTCAATGTTAAATGATTAATTTTAGTCACTAAGCAGCTTTTATGTTTTACTGATTTATTTTACCTAATTTTCCCTTTTTTGGATTTTAGTGTACTTTGTAGAGTTTACACTATCCCAGAGAACATACAAGTATTTTTACTCAGTTTTCATAGAAGGAAAGTGTTTCAAATGGCTTATGTTTTTGACTGTATTGCAAAGCACTTCTGTTATTTCCTCATTATGCT